AGAGGGAAACCTTTATTGATACGAAATAAAAATTGTCTCAACTTTGTGTCAACTCAACTCGTACTTGATCCTTAATCTATTATTCAGGCAGGTTGTCCAACTGACAACCCGGATCAAGACTACCTCCTATCCGGATACCTGGATAAAAATAACCTACTACCCGATTGAATAAAACCTCCCATTCGGGTACCTGGATGAAAATAACCAGCTACATATGTGCAGGTATAAATGTTACCCGGATATCGGATTAAAAATAACCCGCTACCCAGACACCCCGATATACATATATTAACCTTTCCCCTGATGACCGGACAAGAATAACCCGCTACCCAAGTACACAGAAAAAATCTACCCCTACCCGGGTACTCGCAGAATGATAACCATCTATCCAGGTACTCGGAGAAAAAAACCCTTACCCGGGGAATCGGAAACATATACAATTTTGTTTAACTAAGGAGTACAATGAAGTATATTCGTTTTCTGGGTATACAGGTAGCAATCCACTTGGATGACGGAAAAAAGAGAGCGAGCTTCGGTGGGACCACTCCAATTGATTCGGTTTTATGGCCCACTGAAAACTGCAGGCTCTGTTCACTATTAGGTGTGGCTGGAAGCGAGCGTTTGCCTTGAAGCAAGCGGCTCGCTATATAAATGTGTATTCCGTTAAGAAACCACCTCCCTCTCAGAAATTGGTCGGGCGCTGGGTTTGGGACCCGCCACGTAAAAGCCCCTTCCAAAGAATAAAGAAAATAAAGCCTCGAAAGAAACCCACCCTTTTAATTACAACCACTTCAAATATTTAAGTGACTACGGTTTGAGGGCATGCACCTCGTATGGGACAAAATCGGGCATCACCGCCATCAAAGAAATGCGTTACAAAGGGGAAAGGCAAAGAATTTCTGGGTCCTTCGTGGATGCATTTGTGGTGGGAGAGAGACTCCGTCACCGAGTACTGTGGACGAGCTTTCTTCAACATCCCGCACATTTGCCCGCATGCCCCGTCGGAGGAGAAGGACGAGGACGGATCCCTACGAGCGCTTGGAGCGAGAGATCGAAACGATCATATTGTGATAGACGGAAGGCACGCTTCCAGTGTTTGAACGTTGGAGAAGATAATAAGAGCTGCAGAACTGAACCGGTCCGGAACAATTTGCTACGAGAGCGTGCAATTGCTGGCATAGGTAACAAAAACCGCGAGGTCTGTTCTGCCTTTAATTCTCTCTTGCCGTCAGCGGTATTTGGAATCGCCAATGGACAATGGTCTGTAAATCTTCGTCATAATCTTCCCTTGTTTTATCGAATACGAGTGGTTCTTAGTGCCAACTATTACCGATAAGGCCAATCCATTTTACGCTTCACACATAACTTTTTTTTTTTAATTTTAAAATACATACATACCCGTAATCTCTAACAATCTCAGCAAAAAATGCCGAAAAAAATCAACGCTACATTACATTTTATTCCCGTAAACTGAACTCATTTTGAATTTGACTCGAGCTAAAATTGAACATGAATCATGAAAATTGAATAGACGAGTTTTTCGCTGCAAAAAATATTGTGCATGTAAAATGAGTTGTGTCAATTTCGTAAAAAAATAGAAACAAATTGAAATCTGTTTTTGTATTTAAAAAACTAAACGAATATCCTGCTGCTAAAAATGGAAAGTCACCGAAATAGACAACTTAAGAAGGCAACCAAGAAGTCACATCAGATCACTTATGAGAACGAAGATGCTGCACGTTCAGCACTAATAGAATTCTGTATCTATGTGTGCTTCCTGACGGTGGCGCTCTTAGGTGAGGGGCTCTCGACATATGTACATAAGTTAGTACTAAAATTCTACTAGAACTTTCATTCATCATACAGTTGCGACATCTTCACGCCACATGTCAATGTATTTCTTCAGCAAAGGCATCGAGAATCTGTTCTTATCGCGCGAAGTCAACACGTTTACACACGAAGCTTCCGTAAGGTTCGCCGATTTGGCTACAACAGCCGATATGTGGGCATTTTTGGAAACGAAATTCATTATCGATCTACATGGTGTTGGCGATACAGGCGATGGAAATACAGGCGATGGAAATACAGGCGATGGAAATACAGGCGATAACGCTTCGCAGCCCAGCACGTCGGGTGAGCGTACTGCGGGCACCCATTCCGCGGAGAATAAGCTTATTTTTCTGGAACAGAACCTTGTATTAGGCCCACCACGCTTGCGTCAAATACGCGTGAAGGAGGGCAGTTGCGATGTACACGATGTCTTTGGTAGATATTTTAATAAGTGCTATGCGGATTATTCGAGTGGTGTTGAGGATACTTCCAAGGAGTTTAAGAGGTAGATGGATAATAATGAGATGCTTCTATTTTGTTTAGGGTAATTAAAACCGCTGACAATTCACAGCGCCAAATATAAGACGTTGAATGAGTTGGGAGCTCACTCGATTTGGGGTGAGATCAGCACTTATCGTAGCGGTGGTTTTGTGAAGGACCTCACCTACGACTTCAATGAAAATAAGCAAATGATGTCCAATCTGAAGACGGAAAAGTGGCTAGACCGCGCTTCGCGTTTGATAATAGTTGAATTCACGCTGTTTAATGCGAATCGAAATATAATGAATAATGTTAAGTGAGTCGCATTTGTAAGTTATTTGGTAGGCTTTTAGGTTTGTTTATCGCGATTTAATTCATTTTCAGATTTATTGGCGAATTGCCCTCGACTGGTGGTGTTGTTACTT